TTTTCATATAATAGAACAAGCGATACTAGACTTACACGTATATTCAAGCAGAATAGAATTAAATGAATATAATTGATTTACAGATCATTTTTTATATCAAATACGAGATTATAAAATCTTCTTAAGAAATTTTAAGAGATTCTATCTATGAATCTGAAACTTTTTTACAATTAAGTTGCATAATTTAATTAAATATTTTCTAATTATACGTTTTCGGTGTTTAATGTCAGCAATGATTGATTTTTCTATTGTTTTGTGCATTATCTATATTCAAGTATTTAATTATATCACTTATGATATTAATGTTCTCATGTTTTCAAAAATCAGTAATTAATTTATTTCAATTGACTTCTTATCTCATCCGAGGATATTCGTTTGTTTCAGAGGCGAATTTAGCCAAAGAACCCGAGCTTAGAGAATTGCAGTCTGACGTAGCGACCAAAGCGGAAACGGTAGCCGCGCTGAAGGCCAGATACGACCAGCTGATACAACGATACAACAAACTGTCCGAGGTGTTCACCCCGGACCACATAAAGGAGTGTCTGAGGAAAGCGGCTGACGAGAGCCACGAGAAGAGCGAAAGGATCGCCGAGGATTTCTTGGATAGGAAGATCGACGTTGAACGATTTCTCAGCACGTACATCGAGTGCAGGAAGCTGGGACAGGCGAGGAGAACGAAGGAGGAGAAACTGGCGCACCAACTGAACGAATTGAAACGGGCCGGTTACTAAACTAACGTCTAATCTTACCTTTTTCTATCGATTGAACAAACCTGTAAATAATTGCCTAGTTAAATTAAACGACACTGTGAATTCGAGAATTAGCGTTCGTGTTTATCAAATTATCTATATATGACAATGATACTCGCTGGCAGAGAACATTTTTATAACACGTATTATCGATTACGTTGCGAAGTAACATGTCACCGCTTTGTTACGTTCAGGCGACTGTGAAAATCGTGCGGCATCTCGGGACGAATGAATAAATAATAGAAGAGTTATTGGAAATGATTAGAGATCTGTGCTTGTAAAATTGATCGGAAAACCAAAGGGAGACGCCGATCCGGAGAGAAATACTTGAAACAACGTACTTATCTCTTCACCGTACAGAGCAAGTGTCTTTTTAAATGAAACGCTGCGACTCTGATCAAATGCGTGGCCGTCATCGTTCCGAATACGGGATACCTTTTCTTTTTACTATGTAAATAAACGCGCGGATGAGAATTCGATTTTTCAAATGTTTGCTATTCAGTAACGTTAATCTAATTAATTATCCTACGGATGTTCCTAACGACGTTTGTAATATATCGACTGTATAGATACGTGGCGTCTGATGCGAGAAAATGCTTTTTTTAAAACAGGTGTGCCGTGTGTTGTAATCCCATTAGATAAATATCCATCATTATTATTTAAGAATTACGGCTTAAGTTTCGGTTAAAGACATACGTTCGAATGATGCAACTTTCAAATTGTCAAGGTAACTGTTGTAGAAATCGTAAGTTGTACATAACGTAAAAATGAATTTATAATAAAATAATAAATTCAACTCGAGTTGTTGATTATTTTTAGACTGCAGACGCTTATGTCAGTAATGCCTTCATTGCGTCCCTTACGGGTTACATTGCTTCGGACTTCCTTCCCTTACTTAACATATAAGAATAGCAAAGAATAGACAGCTTGAGCAGCGAGCCGTAAAATCGACGGGGCGGTAAAAAGAGAAAGTTGCCAGCCAGATAGTCATAATATAGAAATATAAGGTGTGTTCTGCGCCTTCCACTCGTCGACCAGATTGGAAGTACGATGACTTATTATTTACGTCTTATTATAGATATACGTATAGATTACGTCTTGACTTATTATTTTCATTGTATAAAATCACAGCGAAATGCCTGAATGTACAACAAAGTGTTGTAAGAACTGGAATTGCAATATAGAAAATTTAAATGTATCGTTTCATAATTTTCCGAGTGATGTAACATTAAAAAAGAAGTGGATGGAAGCTTGTGGCACTGAAAACGCCAACATGAAAAATAGTATTTTTGAATCATTTTCTTGACTTCATTAAACTTTAAATAAAATAAGAACATCATTTAAAATATTTTTTTTAGCTCAATTATGCTCAGCACATTTTGAAAACAACGAGTACCAGCACACTTAAAAATTCCTGAAGTAATTGAAAAATGAAATTATGCTTCGATGCAATACCAATAAAATTTTGATCTGCTTCCAATGATGATAGTAATAAGTAATAATATAATAATATACGTTTGAATAAAATATAAATTTTATTATTTAATAATCATCGTCTAGTACAATACACATATATATTTTATATAATTATAGTAATGCACGAAATAGAAAAGTCCTTGAAAATCATGGATCACATCCAGTGTTGGGATTAGGACCGGAATTTTTGGCAATTTTTTACAGTCTGCCTCTTTGTCCTTGCAATACTTAGTTATTAAATAGACAAAATATCGAGTGGCAGACGAT